AAAGAAATAAATCCTGTGACCCATTATTTTTGTTTTTGTATAGCCACACTGAAGGTCAGATATTGTTACAGAAGAGGCCCTAATTTAGTTCAGCAAAGTTCCAAGTGTTGCTATATACAGATTCAATTTACATCACAATCATTGGGAAGAACAAACCAAGCCTTTCTGTTTTATCCAAATTCTTGAAGAGCAAGAACAATATATTTTTTCTCCCTGAGAAAGACTGAAGAATAAAGTAAGAATCCTTTACGAGCTCAGCTTGAATGATGCTTCAGTCCATTTTAACTAAGTATTCTGTAAGTAGTAAAATCTTTCAAAGAAAAAAAAACAAAAACAAAAACAAAAAAAGAATCCAAACCCCAAATGCATTCCACATACACGTTTCACTAAAGAAGGAGCAATTCTCCAGGTAAGTACTTTCCACTCCTATCTAGATCTGAACTACCATGAAGAAATCATTTTCTTTCAACTAAAAGCATCAGAAACAGAAGCATACTGTCTTTCAAGAGCAGAGGTAACAAAACCTGGTAAGGGAAAAAAAGAGTGAAAAGCCCATTTCTGACATTTTTCATTGGGCTTGGTTTTTTTTTTTTCTTTCTTTTTTTTTTCCTGTAAGAGTTTTGAAGCCAGAAGAACTGGTAATACCACATTCCTCTACTACAGTTTTAACTTAAATTTTCTTCTTTGGCAGTGCATTGGATTCACACCATTTTAACACGGATAATAACAGCACTTTAAGAACAGAAGTAGTTCTCTCTGCCAAGATCAAACATATGCCCAAAGCAGAAACTGAAAAGCTTGTTTAGAACAGCTTGTCACAGGCTGTAGTACAGACTACAACAAAGCCCTTCAACTTTTGATCTGCACGCTTCAGTTGGGTCTAAAAAAAGCAAAAAACAAAAAAAAACCACCCCGAAAAACATGAAAATGCACTCAAATAAAAGGGTTTCTTGAGCTTTAACAATGGCTTTTATTGCTTTTTTTGCTGTGGATTTGACTCACATCAGTATGTTTGTTCTGTTCCTTAGCATTAGAAGTAGTACTTAACTATTCGGAATATCAAATTCAGACTTTTATTCTCATTATTTTTCTGCTTTTAAGGTAAAAAAAAAAAAAAAAACAAAAAAAAAAACAAAACAAAACAATGAAGATTTGAAATATATTTACAGTAACAAAAAAAAAAAAAAAAAAAAAAGCCTGCTTTTCTTGAGTGTTTTTGTAAATCCAACTGAGGCTCGAGATCAAAAGTTGAAAGCTGGGCAAGAAAACTGCTTGTAAGCTTGCAACAGAAAACTGCAGTTATTTTTAAATGAAGAATAGAACACAGAGGTAGAGAAACTTCTCAGTCGAAAAGAAAGGGCATGAAATAAAAGGTGCAGATGAGTATTCTGAGAAGAGGGAATATGTAGCTGGAGACTAAAAATTAACTATGCAAATTAGACAGAAATGGATGATGTTTGTGCTCAAAGGCATTCTTTATTTCTGAAAAAGCATTTCAGTTCATAGCAGAATGAAAAACATCTTGGTTTCAAGCCACAGCACAGCAACTTACTAAAGAATAAATAAAGATTGCCAGCATTCCCATCAACACCGAGTCACACCTATACTGTAATGCCATAAAGCCTTATTAGGTTGTTCTGCTCCATAGATGATCCGTTTGAACCTTAAAGTTCTTCTGCACGTGAGATCAGTGTGGCAGACCATGACAGGTCTGGTAGTGCATTAAGCACTTCTGTCACAAAGCAGTTGATGTGACAATCTGTAATTCAACCGCTGACAAAAACTGCTGAATTTAAACCTGAAGTCAGCCCTACTCTATCATGTCCGAAGTCTCTGCACATAAAGATTTGAGACAAATGCCTTAAAGTAATTAAGACTTTATTAGTCTCAAAACTGTCATTCATGTCTGTCTTCAGGTTTCAAATACTTAGTAGTTTTTAGGTAGCATTTCACAATTCCTTACTCAAAACTGTGGAATACAGTCTTACGGACAAAAATTAATGAAAGCTGGTTTTTATTTGATAAAGTCTTCTGGAAGGAAGAAATTGACATTTAACATAATTAGAAAACAAATTTTGCAATGAAAACTTTTAAGTTTTCCAATTTTTAAAAAGTAAAAACCATACTGAATGACACTAGAATTAACTCTAATATGCCCATCTCATAATAATTGCCACTCATAGTGGGGCTGGCACAGAGCATGTGCTTTACAGAGTCTTTATTATATCAGAACTGAGGCCAGCATAAAGGTTTTACGGAAGAGCGATCAACTAACCATGGCATCACCACCTCTCCTACATGGAAACGAAGCTGCAATTTCCTTACATGAACAAACATGAGTTTATCAAACATTTCAGAAATGTATCAAGAATGGTTAAAGCTTGGAATCATAAGATATGAAAAAAATGTCAGGCAAGATCCAGCATCTTCCTGAAAAACAGGTTCACAGAACTTTCATTTAAGGGAAAACCAAACAAACAAACAAAAAAAAAAAAGGGCAGAGGGACAGGGAGCTTTAGGCTAAAAAAAATTCATCCTGTGACTTGTTTCAACTATGGAAGTAGTGAGAATAATTTCAAAAAGGCTTCATTTAAGAAGGTACGAGATATAAGAGAATTTTTGTTTAGAGATAGAGGGTCAAATCAGACAGAAATGCCCTGCCATCCATTTAGCACATGGACAGATCTGAGGAGCATAAATCCTTTTATAACTTCAGTATATACAACTGATCGTCCTTTCCACTCTCACACTGATCAGGAAACTGTATTTTCCTTCTCCACTATAAAACACTGCTTAGGAGCTGTAAGCCCATACGAGTCAAAGCTCTCACATTTTTGATTATGGTAAAATAAAAAGTAATGATTATTATTAGGGAATGAAAACAGCACAAAGAGGAGGTGGCATCTTATGAAAAGATGCAGATTTACATCAGTTGTACTCAGTCATGAACTGCAGTAACTTTTGCAACTAGTATGAATGATACCAGTTTGATACAGTTGATACCAGTTTATCTCTTTTCATAAAACAATGCATACATACACACAAAACGCCAACAAGAACTCTTCAGCATTTAACCTAAAGGCATCTAATTAATAGTAATTAGAACAGAACCCTAGTTATATGGATCACATAACATTTTTTTTTTTTTAATAGGATGCTTATGCTAACTGCAGCCAATCATCTATGCACCACAAATTTTAATATTCAAATACAAAAATTCGTATTAATCTGCATGTAATTCTTTTCAGAGTGTTAAAAGAATTTAAATCTGTGACGATTAGAGAAATTTGAACACTTAAGTAATGACAGGAAAAAATATACTGGAATGAAACATTAGGAAAACAAAGTAGCGCTGTCCAGAGACGTAACCAGACAGCTGACAGGATATCATGTTTTGTACCCCTCCATCAATTGTTCTTTAAAAAATACATCACTCAGTAGAAACATTCCAGAGATTAAGTCTTGATGGTAAAAAGCTGCCATACTGTAGTCAACATTGTATTTTGTTTGATTACTAATAGTTCCATATACAGACTGTTAGACAATTTAATTTATCCATCATTTTGTAAGTCTCAAAACTAGATCTGGAAGTTCCTTTCAGAGCTTTCCTACAAAATCAAGAATGAATAACAACTTCTGCTTTTGCAATGCAGCAGAAAAACAGGTATTTACCCATTTCTTTTGCATACAGTAATATTCTTACATTTTTTAAATTGTGATTGATAGTAGAAATATAAAATTTCTCAGAGCTCACACTTTTATATTTCTACAAAGCACTTCACAGGGTTATGTAATAAAAAAAGATTAACACTTGGTAAAAGGACCACATAAGTATGAGAGAAATAACACATGAAATTCATCTCTGTTTATCTGCTTATTTTCATTTGTGACTAAGGCAACCCACAAAAGCATAAGAAAATAACCTAATGCCCAATACTGAGTCAAACCTCACAAAATACCTAGTTTTCTGAACTGAAGTGGTAGAAAAGTCTATTTCTTTCCACACTTCAGATTGTGATTAATGCAGGTTTTTCTTTTAAATATATATTTTTTCCTTGCAGTTCTTGACCATAGAACAGATGATAGCTGAGACACAGCAATGGGATTAAACACCAGCAGTTGAGAATCAGTCATCAAACCAATTACTAAAGCAGTGATGCTGAAGTTATATCCACACTGTATAACATAGCTTATGCATTCCTGACTGTTCTCTACTCTTTATAGCTGAATTGATTTTCTGCAACACAGCATTTTTTCCCCAACTACTCAGGAATTCTGCAGGTTATGGCTTCACTGGAACCCAGAATCCTATCAATGCTTTGTATTGCATTTAGGCAGCGTTGAATCATTTCATGCACAAAATTAAAGAATCAAATAAGACAAAAACATAGCAGTCACCTAAACTTCTAAATTACTTTTATGTAAATTGTTTGCTAGCTAAAGGACAATTTCCCTTACTTGAGAACACATCTGATGATCTCCAAGACTGCAACTAAGCATCCATACACAGACTGCTTTAAATCAATACACAATATTACTAGGAAAAAAAACCAACAACACCAAAAACTGAAAGCAATGACATGATTCATTCTTTTAATACCAATCTGTATTTCAAGTCCTACTGACAAACTCCACAGCTGCCCGAAAATAGCTCCGACTCCATTCTCTTTCAGAGTCAGAGTTCTGAAAACGTCTTCCAAGTTACCATACTTTTGTTATAGGATAACCATTTTCCAACAGTCCAACCAACAAATCTTTTCAGGCTTTAAACAAATATTTTAAACTGCTTGTCAGCAAGGAGCAATTACACAAAAGAAACGTGTTAAGAAATATGTCAGCCTACATGCCCTAAAGGTTTAAAGACATATTCAGGAAAAACAGCTATAAGGAGACACTGTCATTCATTTACTTGCCACACAAGTTAGGTCCCAGGACAAGTAAGGTTTCTCAATACTACACAACTACTTCACATTAATAGCAACAACAAAAAATAAGCTTACCGTTTGACTTTCAGGAAAATCCATCTTCAGCAATTTGTGAGCACATTCTTCAAAGTCTAAGCTGCAATAAGAAAAAAAAAATTCTTATCTGAGCAATATACAGCTGTACTAGAACACCCGAAAATCACTGACTTTTGTTCACTTGAAAATTTTGATTACAGCAATACTCACAGAAAAGTCCTAGTGTATTGTATTATTGTATTGTAGAACAAAGATTTTTGTTTGAAATCATGATTTAAGAACCCACTGTCAAAATAACAGTTAATTTTCTACCTTATAAATCAAGTTCCATATGGTATTTAAAAAAAAAACGATGCTAAAGCAGGATTTAAAAAAAAAGAAGAGAATTAAAATTCGGTCACATCAAAAGAAATGCAATTGCGTATAAATTATATCATGTTTACCTTGACTGAATAGCAAGATAAATGGTACGACGGAAGGAAACCAGGTTGATTTCTGTCTTGTCATGGACAGTAACTTTCTGGCCTATGAAAGAAACACAATTTGGAAATAACAAAACATTAAGCCATATTTTTTATAATATCTATGTATCTCTTAGAACGTATCTATTTTTATTAGGTCTGCAACACATCTGTGTAAAAATACCTTTTGTAGAAATACTTAAGATTTGGGCAGTATTGTGTTTGTATATTTATTTCTATCAAAGTAAAGAATTTAAAATCAATGTTCGCCTTATCTATGACTAACAGGTAAATATTTAGAGATACAACAGAGATACAGAAAGCCTCCTTTTAAATTTTCACTCTAATGTTACGTGCTACTATTAAACACTTAGATCTGGGAATAATTGCAGATTAAAGCCTCCCTTAACATTGCAGTGTTCTTAGTTTTATAAAATGTGCAACAGAAGTTCAAGCTTTCCTTTACAGTTTAACCTACAAAAAAGAAAAACAGAAAACGTGCACACAAAACAATTCCAACAATCAAACATAAGACAAAAAAAAACTCCAAAACGATCACTAGTAAGTTGCCAGTCACACACTTACCATCTTCATCCTCCTCTTCATCTTCATCTTCCTCTTCATCACTACTTCCAGCCTCCTGATCTGGTTCAGACTCACTGTCACCTTCATCAAGGATTTCTGAAAGAGCAGATTAAAGGTGTACAGAACATAATAATTCAGTTACCAAAACAACAATTGATCTAACATCTGAGATTGAAAGGATGTCTCAGGCAAAGAAGGTATGCCACAACTGGCTAAAAACATAGCTGTAGGGACAATACTGAGGAAAGGGACAGGAGTATGTCAGAAAGGAGTATGACGAATTGAAAGGCAGTTATCTGAAAAACAAATGCACCTGCAGTTAAACAGTAAGACTTGTAATGATAGTTGGGTAACTAAATAGCATACAAAATACACAAAGAACATCAACACATATTTTACATATAGCATGCACATATAACATCTAATAGAATACATCTATCATGTATAAAACATGTACGCCTGTACACGTAAACATGTACACCTACCTTTCTTGAGCGCTTTGTATTTCTCTTCATTTTCCATGAAGTTGGGATCCATCTTGAAAACATCTTTAAAATAAAAACGAGTCTTTAAAACACGAAATGAAAATAAGGCTGTATTTCAAATCTTCAGTCTGTTTTTGAGTGAAATATAATCATGGAAAATATTTCTATTTCTAACTTACTAAGAACATCCTCTGGGTTGTATTCATCTTCTAAAGGCAACATATGAGTAAACTGATCTTCCTCTTCCACTAGATCTAATCCCTCTGGAATGATTGGATGATCCTTGAAGCCATCCTTCCGTACCGCAAACATAACTTCTATCATGTACTGAACACGCATGTCAATTTTAGACTCGTGGAGAATGTGTCGAAGACGGTCAAAGATTGCTTTGGAAAAAATGAAATATTTAATATGGACAAGGACTGAACATAACACAAAACAAGAAAAGGCTAATATATTGGCTCATTATACTTACCATTAATGCCTCTAGGAGAAACTTCTGTTAGCTTGAGCCCACTCTCCTTAAGAAATCCAATTGCTACTTCAATACTGTCATCAGTAGGCCTTTCAAGAAGCAAGGTGAGCATTTCCAAACATAAAACCTCATGAGCCTTTAGAAAGAATATCGGTAAAGAACCAGAATTTACAATATTTCTTTGAGGATGTCACACCATTTGTTTAATCACACAAAGAAGGCAACACTGGACAAAACTAATTAAGAGGTTGTCAACATTTCATACACAATTTAGCTATTTATATTTACACCATCTTCACAGTGAACATGACTATACTTTTGAAATATGAATACATTCTAATGAACATTTTACCATTACTGAAAAAAACAGAATGCATTTATATAGACAAATAAAATAATACTTAGCTTACTAGAACTAGTTTTCGCATTGCATAGTCTTTCAAAATAACTGCAAGAAGTAACGTTTCAAACTGCATTATCTTATACACCAGGGATAGAAACCCTGGTACCTCTAACACAGAAGATGGTAAAACAAGGAAAGATACAAATTTGATTAAATTGATTCTGATCCTGTCTACAGACTTAATCATCTTTGTATGAGATTACAGTGCTGAAGAAAAGTCCATATAGTATCTGCAGGAATTCATTTGCTTTCTATCACAAGGTATCAGAACAGTATCCCAAACATATACATAAAGTTTTGGGAAGCTCTCAGACATTACATGCAACGGCTAGAGATGAGAACATCACAGCCATATTATCAGACGAAATCTCTTTTCTAGAAAGTCCCAACAACTTACAGCAAGTACTGACAGGAAATCTGAACTCAGTTTTCCCATAATTTCTGGAAAAGGAGAAGTAAATTCACTTGAGCTACCACTGTCTTGAAGCTAAAATAAATAGAAAGCCATATAAAATATGAGCAAGTGAAAACAAAGTAACATACCACATTCTGATTCATCAAATGAGCAACGAACTTTGAAGACGTCAGACAGAGTTGCTGCAAAAGAAATAAATGACTGGAAACTGTAACATCTTACATGAAAGAAACACTTGTAACTGAGACATTCTATACTATCAATTTGTGCTTCTCAGTCAAATTAAGACATGAAAATAACTATTTTGGTATACTGGCAATTATTCTACCATTAGGACTGCATACGTCCAAGTAAAATATAAAAACAGCATCACAATTCCAAGCTGAAATCAGTAGCCAAGCTTTCACAATACACGAGTGCTACTTTATTTAACGTACACATGGCAGGTGAAGCATAATGATACAATACAAACCACAGGTCATGGCTGTGCACCTTTGAAATACCTAACTTGAATACACTCAGTACAAAATTACTCAGCAGAATTGCAAGTTTTAGCATTTTGTTTCTTCACATTTTTTACATACCTTATCGTTTCTGCGATATCCTTTGCGAAAATTTAGTATCAACCTCTTGAGAATCAATTCACCAATATTTGGAAACTTTGAATTAATAATTGCCACAAGAGCCGCATAAACATGGGTAAAAATTGGAGAGGCACCCTGAGCTTGCAAAATGGATCTAGACAGCAATCCCCTGCAAATATACACAAGTTTAAGACTAAAATTTTTCATATAATAAAACACAATGTTTTCACCCATTATGTATCACAAAATAGGACTGCACTGTTTGAACAGTTAGAAAGGTGCTATGTGGTCATTTTCTAACAGTTGTTCACTGCAAAGCCCAGGAGCAAAAAAAAAAAAGCCCTCAAAATGTGACTCTTTAAAGTACTACTTACTACAGGGTTAATAAATGGAATAGAACTCATTTGATACGTGTATAAAGGAACAGAATACTTGGTTTTAAAACCATTAGCTACAAATGCAAATTAAATTAGTCTGGTTATGATCATATTTACTTGTACAATAACCATGATTTATAACTGCGAGAATCATATAAATACCTAATAGCTAAATAGCCTTTTCTCCACATTAAAATGGGAAAGATGAAGGTGGAAAACAGATCAGTCAGTTAGTTGTAGCAGTGTTTTGGCTAAAAATATTTACTTCAGATAAAGTCCAGGAACACAGAAAGAAATAGGTAGGCACATGTAAATTGCAAGTCATTCAAGTAAAGTCAATAGATAAGCTAAAATAAAAAGGAAACATGCTGCTATCTGCTCTACTGTCTTATTCTTCCAAGCATGTACTCCTTCCTCTACCTCTCTGCTCCCAGCCCCTCTCCTCAAGCATGGCAGTCCTCTGCATAGGAAAATATAAGCTTTTAAAGTCAGATTAGTAACCATACACTAAACATACCGTGATGCAAGAATGTACAATATACATATTTACAGAAAAAAAAAAATTGACTTAATTATTTCAACATTTACCTTCCTCGAACAATATTCTCCTGAAGCAGCTCATGAATAATATTTTCTATATTAGAAACGTTTACTTTATTGACGAGACCATTGATGGACTTCTTCAAGGCTTCCCAACTCATCCTCTGATATGCCAAGCTATTCAAAGGCATCACAGATTAGTAAAGCATAAATTTGTGGCAGCGCTGTTATATATACAAAAATCTGAAGATGCAATATATTAAATAAAAAAAAACTAAGAAAATATTCACATCACAGATATAAAGACTAGCTCACAATTATACATTAAATGACTACAAACCCACCAAACCAACATGGCATGCCAAAATGTAATTCCCCACAGATGTGGTAAAACCCAGAATGTTTGTCTTTTAATGGCATTAGGAAAAAAAAGCCTGTTTATGCTCTGTATCCCACTTTTCCATTAGGAGCAGAAGTGGAGAGGGTCATAGCCCGATTTGTTACTTTCGTTGTTGTCTGTTTGGCTAGCATTTTGTTTTCCTCAGAGACAGGTGGAAAGAGAAGATGACTTAAGAAAAATGGCTCTCATTTTTTTTCTGATTAGAAAGGTATCTCAAGAAGTGTCCCACTTATATCAACGTTCCTTAAAACCCTTCATAGTTTTGTTTTTCAGGATGAATTCTAATGTTACCTTCAACTCACCTATTTTTATCAGTAATTTGTTCTTGCATCATCCTGAGCTTGGCAGGTGGAATATATGCACCACCTGTGCGAGTAAGGATTGGATCCACTTCTTCTTTCTTCTTCTTTGAAGTGGCCTCTTCATGAGTATTTGAGCCCTGAACTGTTGACCTCTCTGGACTCCTATGATCAGGGGAAGAGAGTCTTCTCTTCCTCCTTCGATCATAATCTCTTTCTTCCCACTTTTCATAGTATCTGTCTCTCCCTCTCTCCATCCTTCTAAAAGACAAAAAAAAAAAGAAAAAAGAAAAAAGAAGCTGTTTTCCTCTTTCACTGTTTAAACTAAGTACCTTCATAGGAATTGAAAAACAGGTCTTAGTATTCACCTTTCTGAAGATCTGTCATCGTAATACTCCCTTCTTGAATATTCTTGATCATATCTGCTGTCATCAGAATATCTTCTTCTTCTGGGAGATGGAGACCTGTCACGCTCTACATCCCTATTCACAAACCAAGACACAAAATTCTCAGTAAATGGATTACAAAAACTATGCTATTAATAACTACCTGCAATGCAATCTGTTACATACACACCAACAATTCCAATTCTGCACTCCACTCTTAGTATGTGCATCACTCAAAAACAAGATGTTCCCTTTATAAATTGTTGCCAGACAGCAAAAAAATAAAAAATGAAAATAAAGAAATCAATAGAATCACGTTAAAAGGAAGCACCTCCTACCATGTGGGATAAACACTAAATGTCAGTAACATCAAACACCAAAGGCAAGTGCCACACCGCATTTCTTGAAACTCACATATTCACTTCAGCTACTTTTGAGGTGGTGCATGAAACAGATGCCACTAAAAATGATTGCCTTTGGTACAAGATGCTTTATTCCAATTCAAATATGAAATATAGGTAAAGTGCTAGTGCTTCATCTCCTGCATCAGTAGACTGTGCTTCAAACAATACTTGTACACCTCTTGCTGGCCTCCATAATCTTGCTATAAACATCAGTACTGTTCCACAAAAGAAGGTGTTATCTAATTTCCATTTTCAAGATCCCTGAGATTTTAACTGAGAATTTTAGACTAAAAGTATTCAGTCTTAATTACAAATCTATTAAACTACTGCTTTTTATACACACAAGTATTTTATTAAACCTGCAATTATTTTTCACAGGTGTTATGGTAGCATATAAAATCATACTATATTCAGTTTTCACCTTTGTTGTTTGTTTTAATTTTTCTCTCCCTAGAAGGTGTGTACATACATACATACATACATACATACATATATATACACACACACACACACACAGTCACAGGGAACATAAATCAATCATTTCTACCTGTCCTCTGGAGTCAAACTTCTGTGCCGTGGACTGTATTTTTCTTTCTTTTCATGACTGGACCCATGCTTTAATAAAAGAGAAAAAAAATTCAACTCCAAAGACATAAAACAACTAGTGTGAACACACACACACACACATATACATATAGACATCAAGGCATATGATGGCTTTAGCCTGCTACATATTTATAAGAAGCAATGTTCATCAAATAAAGCTAATAGCAGTCCAACTCATCACAAGGAGAGCTGCTTCTAAATAACACATACTTAAGCAGCTGCTACAGGATACTCTAGATGCTAAGTTTTTATCATGATTTCAAGAGGCTGAACACAGATGAAAAATCATACAGGTTACTAAAAGAAATTACAAACTGGATGAGACTGAGTATTTTCACAGTTTACCCTGTTTTTACAGGGCATTTGCTATGGATTACTGTCAGAGACCAAGTAAAATCAATCTTCAGTCTTTGTTCCTTTACTGTTTTCTTTATCCATACATCCTTTTATACTTTGTTGTATCATGTGCAACACTGTTTACAGCCATCTACCAGTCCTTGTTTAGCAAATGGCAAGTGTATCTTCCCTCTTCTAAAGATTCTTTTTTACTTTATAATTAAAAAACTCTCATTTTTTTTCTAACTATTGTATGTTTTCTCACTGAATCATTCCTAGCTTCATAAATTTGACATGTATAAATTTAATATACATAGTAACAACATGAAAAAGGTGGGTTTTTTGGGGATAACGAGTTCTCATGAGCTCTACAGCATTTGCCTTGGCCCAAGTGGACTAACAGAGACAAGGGTTCATAGGAGTAAAACAACGTTACTGATGTGTCTTTCTCTGGGAGTTCTCAGGTATCCTTGCAAAAGCAACTATTTTGCTGAATAACTTATTTCCCTCAGCTTTTCCTGACCAGGCTTCCTGTCACAGGTTACAGTATCCCTCCCAGCCCATTCCCAAAGCACCCAAAGAACCTACCTGGCTAAGTTACTCATTTCAACAGATGAGAGAGCACTACTATAATCACTTGGTCAGGAAAACATGAGGAGATATCTATGCTCAATACCAAAGGATATTTGAGCATCCCTGTCAAAAACTGCTTTGGCAAGAAAGGCTGGAATGTAACTAGGAGCAAAACAGCCCAGGCAGGGTTGAACACAAAAACCCCAGAAAGCTAGTGATGAAGATGTCACTCAAATTCAGTAAAATTCTAGTGAAAACAAATGTGGTATTTCTACACCCCATTTTTTCTCATTGCTAGCCAAGAAATCAGCCCTCCCACCCTCCCAGCCACTCAGAACTGTACTGTACAACCTTTAAAGTTCAACTTCCACGCTAAGAAATGCAGCTGACACAGTAACTTATACTTCCCTTTCTTCTTAACATCATCATTACAGTTTCAGCACCCTTTTCCCACTTTCCTAGCCCTTATGTTCTCAGTTGAGCCACCATTCAGCCACTTTTGTTTTACTACCACTATGTAGTGCCAATAATGTTCAGAACTTCCACTGCAAGGACAGCATGCATCAGCCGCTATAACTGACTGCCTTAACAGTAACACCTCTGTTGTCAACGGCTGCCATCACCACTGTCTGCCTTACAATAAGCATTCTATCAACATCAACAGAAATCTAGCCACCAGCAAGAAGAGAATAAGAGAATAATACACAACGTAAGCTTCAGGGCACTTACGTTTATTTGTGTCACCCTGCTCTTCATCTCCACTTCTGCTATTTATACAAAACTCTGAACGTGCAGCAACGAGAAAATCCAAAGCGGTGACCAGTTCACCCAGAACGTTTCATCTACAATACAGAGACGACAGCAAGGATTTTATATTGCACAACACAAACGTTACATTGCCGTGCCGCAGGCCCAGCCGCACGGCTCCCGCCCCTTCCGCCCGCCCCCCCTCCGAGCCGCGGCCCGGCATACAGGCCGCAAACGCCGGACCCGCGGGGCTCGGGAAGGGGCTCCGCCTCCTCGCGAGGGAGGGAAAGGGCAGAGAACGGAGGGACAACACCCGCCATCTCACCTAGACCTCGCCAAGCGGCCGCAACCCCCTCTCCGCACCCACCGCCCGCCGCCGCTGTACCGCCGCCAACGCCGTCACTTCCGGCGGAACGCGATACGCAACGAACGCGACGCGCTCAGGCACCGCCCAGCGACGGCGCAACGCACAGCGCGGGGTGCCGGGCTGCGCTGCACCATGGGAAGCGCAGTGCGGTAGCGGCGGTGTGCGGCTGCCATGTTGTGCGGCGGGCGGTGGCGGGCGGCTGAGGGCGAGTGGTGTGGCGTGCCGTGCCCGTCGGTCAGCTGTTTTGGTTTAAGTGGTCGTACGGAGCGTTCGGGAAAAACAAACTGAGCAAGCAAACAAACACAAGCACTTATTTCAACAGGAAATAAGTTGATGCTGTCATGCGAAATTTGGGAATAAACGCTTTAATAAAAGCATTCTGCATTTTGACGTCAGATTTGTGAGGGGGTATCTCCACCCTAACCGCGCGTATCTGGAGCAAAAGAGCTTCAGCTTGTATACATTACCTGTGATACGTATGCAAAAGCTTCCCTGATCAGTACATGAATATTCAATATCCCCCCAAAATCGTTAACATAAGGTCCCACCTCCTTGCACATTTTGAGTGAGGGTCTCAGGACCCTCAGCGATGAAGTAAGCAGTCTTCATGAGAAGAATATGAAAAATTAATTGTGCTTACTTGTTAAACACTTCACATTTTATTCACTCTCATTAATCTGGAAATACAGTGTTTATTTTGTGAGAATTCTCTTGGGACAGGGCTATTTGTACTTAAGTAAAACCCCTCCTAAATCCTGGTGATGAAAACAATGTCCTCATTGCGCCCTGAGGATCACTTTGCAAATCATGACTGCAACACGCTCTGCATCCGACAGCAGTGTTCTGCTGGAAGTGCAGTGAGGAGCTGGTGAGTTTGCAGAGCTGGAACCTAACAGCTGCGACCTTATGAACATTCTGGACTTAGCACAATGGCTTTGACTGGGGCCTTGCTGCCTAACTGCATATAGCCTTTTTTTCTTTTTTGCTTGTATGTTTTCTAACAGTGAAGAATATGTTTAGTTCTATAGCTTAATTAACCATAATTATGTGTCACTTTAAATAAGGCTCGATTCTACCACCAGGTTCTGTCATGTCAAATGATCTCCAGTGGTATTAGGACATTACATCACTAAGCAATTTGAAATGCTATATAAAAGGTTTTAATTTGGAAGAACCATTCCTCCCTGGTATTTATTCTCACACTGAGTAAGAAAATATGGATACGTTTATATATAGGATACGTTTATATATATATATATAAGATATACATGTACAAACGCATACAAACATCATGATGTGGTTGGATTTTGATTAATCTACTGCAGCAGTTTCAGAGTTAAGCTGCCCTGCCAAAAACTGTAATCCCACAGAAGAGTCAAAGAAAGGGAGTATCAGACCATGCCTGAGATAATTCAGCATAGCATTTTGACTCAAACTGCTTTAGTTTAAAATGAGATAGCAGTCTTTACTCTCAAACACTTGAAGTGTTTACAAAGTGAGTACAAGCTTGGTCTCACATTTTTCCAAAGGTCAGGAGTAATTTCTTTAAATTGTGCATCATGCCAGTTAAAAATACTCTGCCCTCCAGTGTTTTTACTTATAAAGTCATAAAAGTGAACTCTCATTTTGTGATCCTAAGAAGATATCAACAATCTAAGAAAATCCTAATCAAAACAAACACAGGGATAAGATGTTTTAAATAATTGGAAAAGTACAGAAGTATGTTTCTGCTTACCTCTAGCAGAACCTCTACCTCACAGAATTTTATTTCCTCAGCTTTTGAATTTGCAGTGGCAGTGCCTACACAGGAGACTGAAAACAGCATGTTATCTGGATGTTATAACAATTCTGACAGTATGAACTGTTAAATGTTCTCACTAGATGTACCATGAACCCACTGCAAATAGAACATCACCTGCTGGCAGGGACTTGTGCCCATGAACTCTCTATGGTTTTCCTTTCTGCTGGGAAGGCAATCTCTTTCCTGACCCATGCTGTGTAAGCAGGTGCCGTCAAATAAAAAGGCATATGGCATCAATGTGGCAGCACCATCTCACAAGAAGAGTTTCCTGTGGCTGATGGCACATGTACCATGACTCAGGCTGTCCCTCTGAACATGCTGAGAGAGAGCAAATGGGGAGAGCTGAGCATCTCTTCAGAGGGTGTCTGAGGACAAGACCAGAAAATAAGCAGTCTACTTTGAGGTGCAACCACCGGGAAACAACTGATTACCCCTGAGGAATGAGCTTATGTTTGAAAGCAGCTGAGTGACATGGAGAGACCACATCCTCTCATGAATTACACTATTCAGCTTCTCTGCTTAAACACAGAATGCAGAGTAAGGGCCAGGAGAGAGATTCATTGAACAAGAAAGGAAAGGACTGTGTAATTCTGAATGGAATCAGTGAAGTGATGTTTCTCTTTTTCCTTTCCTAAATTAAGGCTTTTGCATTTGAATTACAGAGCGGAGCCCTCTTCCCTTTATTGCTTTTCTGGCCTCTTCACCATGCAGTCTCTTCTCTGCAATGTGTTATGTAGAATTTCAGTTTTATAGAGTGTCTAGATTTCTGATCTGGGGACATATTTTAAAAGATGTAGGTATTAATTTCATGAAGCTGAAGAGACATTTATTTCCAAAGCCTCCAGTTTCCAAGGAAAGTTTTGAAGGGGCAGACAGCAGTGCTGGTTGGGCACTGCGTGGCAGTCTTTTTGAAGCTCCTGTGCTTGAGATCCCAAATGCATGGGGTCTGAAGCAGAGTCAAGACTCATATTTCTGAGTTCTGGAAAGGAGTAAGGCTTTAGGCATCTGCTTTTTGTTGGTATCTTACACATCTCCTTACTCTGCATGTGGTTCTCTTCATTGCTTGGAAAGCACTCAGTTCTCTATGTCTGTGGTGCGTGAAACCACGTACCTAACTATAACAACCCTGATTGCCCATGTTCAGAAAATAAATAAATAAGTAAAAAAACAAACAAATAAAAAAAACAAAGCAAAACCCAACAAGAACAACAAAACCACAAGAGAAACAGTATGCATTTCTGAGATATCTCAGACGTATCTACTGCCCTGTGCAAGTGCAGTAGAGATGCACAAGGTGAAGTTAGTTTTAAACTAGCTAGTTCTGCTACCTTGTTTCATCAAGCTAGTGCAGCACTGGGGATGGGCTAACAATACTGTTGACACTGCTTCTGGTGTCTGAATTAACTGATGTCAAGTGGCTGTATGTATATTTGGGGCAGCTATAATGAACATATAGAATGCTCCTCCCTCTCTCTCTGTCCATCTCTCTCTCTTTTATTTTTTAAATCTGAGCAAAACAATACCTCAGACCTTAAAATAACTCCCAATTAATACAAAATTAAATACTGTATGAGTCAAAGTTAAAATATTAATTTCTACATATGGTAAATATAGAAACACAGAAAACAGTGATAATTCAACTGAGACTAATAGCAATTAAGCCAAACATAATTATATCTTTGAAACTTGCACAAAGGGAAAAAGGATAATGTACCCAACAAATTCATATTCAGCAGCTTAATGTTGCGCATGAACACTCCATTAGTAAGCCACTGGAAACATAGTCAAGTTGTTTTCCCACAGCAGTTTTTGTCATTGTGCTCAAAATGATACAAGTTAAAAATTATCTCATGCTACACTCCCTGGGTTGGCTCCTCACCTGGGATGAGCACTCCATCAGTTCCTACTCTTCTACACGTAAGGAATAAAAGTTTGCGTGTAGATGCTCACTGAAAAAGCAACTGTAGTAGCTCCAATATCTGATTCTTAGTACAAACACTATTTGCAGCTAATAGTACTTCATTAATTAATTACAAAATGACTTTCCTACCAGCTTCATTTGGAATACAACATTTATACACAGCTAATTCCTATTAAAGATAATCAGTGTGACCTTTAGCATGCTGTAGAATTACAACTTTGTGCAAGGCTCAGACTGTGCTTTCAGATAGCTGCTACTATGCATCAGGTCCAGACTGTTACTTCACACCTCAGTAACACAAGAAATTGCATCCTCTGCAGTTTCAGCGCAAGGTCAGATAAGTTAACTGAGCCAAGCCAATAAAGAGGGGATGAGAAGCAAACATGAATTTGTTCAGAGCAGGATGTAGCTGTGCAAGACCTTCTGCTACCTTTCTTTCTCTCTCTCTTTTTTTTTTTTTTTTTTTTTTTTTTTTTTTGGCAGGGGGTCTTAGGGGATGATGACAGCATTAATGCTGGTTGTTACAAATTTGTATGTGAGAAAGAGCAAGATACAGAAAGAAACAATCTCTGACACCACCAAACCGCTTCAGAGAAATCTAATGTCTTTGCTCACCATTACTTTTCAATACATACTAGGTAATAATCCTGCCCACAGCAAGGGGTTTGCAACTAGATGATCTTAAAGGTCCCTTCCAATCCAAAGCCATTCTAGGGTCATGGATTTACAATATTTCCTGAATGATATCTCATTTTGGTAATAACAATGGGTAACATAGAGAAATACTCTTTTGTCCATGAAGATACCAAGACATTCCCAGCTTGTTTTGAATCCTTGCCAAAACACAGCTATTCCCATGGTCTCAGCAGGAAGAGATGAGCAGACTGCAAACTTCCACACAGCTTCTACGGTGTGAAAATACAATACATGTGTTTTCTGTTACTTTTAATGATGTTCTCTCAGCTGTTTCTCATGTTAGTCAAAAAAATGCATTCCTATGTAGTGGTGTGGACTGGTGGCAGAAGGAGTGCTGAAGGCACAGCTCTCCCAGGTGTGTGGTGTTTTCATTTCCTTACTTACTTGGTACTTACATACCTCAGAGGAACACCGGTGCTTTTCCACAGTGAGGACTGTTCACCAAACCAAGGTGTTACATTACAGTAAATCCCCTGCAGGTGGAATAAATCTGTTTAAAATGTTGAGGCTATACGATCAATTGAACTATGTAAACATTTGGCAACTTTGTCTTCTTTAGCAACAAAAATCCATTTTTAGCACCCAACACTTTCAGTTACGTTTTGATTCCTTTTGTTAAACCCTTCTGATGTATTTTTCCATCTCCAGTCCTGTAATGAAAGCAGTGTCTGCTGTTCCGCAGAGCTGTGGCAGCAGAGCCCTCTCGTGGGGACACCAGGCTCAGTGCCCGGAGGTGGATTTCTGCCCTGAAAGCTACAGGACACGATGATACCTTTTTACCCTCCCTGCCTTAAGCAGGTCATTATGTTACTTAACCTGCTGCTCAGTGCTTTGAGGCTTTATGTCCACGTTCTCTAATAAGCATACAAAGCTTCTTTTACTTAGCTCTCGATGTATAACTTTATCCAAATTTTACTCTTTAAATAGAATATGAATATAAAGATACCAAAACAAAAATATTCTATGTATGTTGCAATATTTTCCTGTGTTAAGGACAAATTAACTATCTGTTGCATGCTCCTAAAACTTGCTAGATAGCTACGCCTTTCTTCAACTTTTCCAAACTAGAAATGGAAATAGATGATTTTCCCATAGTTTATCTTTTTCAACAGTTAAATTAAACCTAGAAGAAAGCAGATTATTCTCCCTTCTGTTGCTTCCCTGCTCTACTTTATCTGATTATTTCAAGATGCAGCAGCCACTCAAGCCAGTGAAAGACAAGTTAGCACAACTATGTCTCAGCTACTGAACATTTGAATGTGGTGTTCATCTTTCATCTCCTCAGTGATAGAGAAGGAGAGATACTGTCTGACTGCTTGCAAGGAATCCCATGTGTTACTGAAGCATAAATACTTCAGCACAAATAGTATCATCATAATACACTGGGAAGGACCTGGCAATATATAGTTTACCTTGTGTTTGGTGGGCCTGAAACATAAAAAACCTGTACACTGATTAGTTCAGAATTTCTTCCTTGTTTTGATAAATGTTTTGGTCCTGATGTCCTGACAGATGAGTCACATCTTGACAGGACACTGCACACCCCTTGGAGTTCTGGGATTTGCAGCACATCCAGCCACAGGAGCTCCTTTTAGAAGGTTGTTTGGAAAGATATTATTTTCTGAATTGAAACAGAGTAACAATGCTGGAAGCCCACCTGCAGTATTTCACAAAGAACTTTGTTATATAAAGAGCAGTAATCTAAAAAAGAGGGAAAAAAAAAAAAAAAACAAAAAAGAAAAAAAGTAAAGAAAAAAAGGAAGCCGGAAAAGTACAGTAACAAGAAAAGAAGCAATGACATTCTAAACTGAGGTGTCTTTGTGTTAATGTATTTAATTCTTCTCTTAACAGCCACCCAATGTTGCATTAAGTGCTAGGATCTGTACAAAATGTGATGCCAACATCTTTTCTTTGAAATGATACATTTGATTTACAATAAAAAGTAGCTCTTCTCTAAGAGAGACCAACCAGTTCAGGGTGGAAGTGATCCCAGGGTGTTCAGAATAAAAGAAGATGGCAACAACAGAACAACAAAAACCAAATCCAATAAACAAACAAAAAACCCTGAAAGCAAAAACAAACAACCAAACCAACCAACCAACCAAAAAAAAAAAACAAAACAAAAACAAACAAACAAAAAAAAACCACCACAAAAACCACAAAAAATGACAAAATAAAAAACCATCAGAAAAGAAAAAAGTCCCAACAACAAAACAACCGAAAAACCAAGAAATCCCAACAAGCCAGCAGACGTTACAGCAAAATGTAGACCTTGAAGGAAGAGTGTCGGAAAGGCTTAATAGATACAGAGAACATAGTTCCCTGGAAGGAGGCAACATCTTTATGGACAGTGTACTTGTGGGTATTCTCAATATCAGAATATATGTTTCATTTTAAAAACATCCTGAAAGAAAATTTATTTTAAGGAATTTTTATTGTCATAGAACACTTTGTAATGTGCTTGAAAAAACATTTTCCAGACAGGTCCTATATGTTCTCCACTAAGTTGTTTAGATTCTTTTTAGAAGTAAGGATCTTATTACCATTAAATATCAACTATAAATTTAATACGATTGAATTGTGAGCTGCTTCCTTTAACCAAAGGTTCATTAAAGTGCAATCAAATTCTTTGAGAAAAAAAAAAAAAAAAAAAAAATATTTAAAATAGTAAAGCAAATTGGCAAATTGCAACATATCTGGAAATATTGTTTCAGAGAAAATGGAAAAATTATGTGTTCAAAATAATGTAAACAAATGTCAAAATGTTGATGCTCTAAAATTTTACTTAGAAAACTGTTCTTCAGAAAAAGTCACTATAGGAACCCCCTTAGAAATATCTTCATCATGTCACAAAATGTTACGTTTGTTAATTAACTTTTCTTAGCACTCCAGCAGACCTTCAAATTAACAGCTATTGAAACTATAGGTAAACAGTGGGTGCCTGACTTAATTAACTCAGGCTCTGTGTGATGTGATTTGTATTTCAGCAATGCTTGTTCATAACATGGGCACTGCTATTCCTATGGCATATGGCTCTTTATTGTTATTTCATGATTTCATCTCACGGTGTCCTGCAGATTAGAAGGTCTGTGAGAACCAGAGCAAATATACAAAACAGAGAGTAATGCAAAACTGAAAGCATTATTATTTTCATGAAGGCTTTATAAAAATAACAAAAATATTTGTTAATAGGAATACCATAAACAGATTTGCTGCGTGTCTACATATGCACAGACATGGACAGAACCCCATAATACTCAATGGAATGTCACAATGAACAGCTAAGAAGCAACTAAGCAATAACTGTATCAATGCCTAGTCACATTACATTTTAATAGCTGATTAATGTATGTATATAGATAGATATCCTAATGGTATTTCTCCTAACAATCTAAATTTGAAGGGAGACAACATATTCATTATATTAACCATACTTTCTACTTTGTATTGAGTCCTTGCAATCTTCACAGAGTACAAATGCTCATATTTCCTCTAATAAAGGCTTCCAAGTAAGCCTTGGCAATATTTCTGAACAAAGTGGAGCCACTGTAGAAATAAACTGGCCTTGTGTCTCATATCTCCATGGGGTTTATGAGGCAAAATGACTTCAACAGTGATAGTAGGTTAAAGCAAGGACAGGCAGCCTCCTCAATTAGCCTCCCAGAAAACAAACGCAAATACCTCATTTAACACACATACGATTCAGCAGTTCTAAAAAAGAGCATAGGTCAAAAAGAATAAAATTATTCAGCTTTATGAAAACATGTTCTTTAATTCTTACCTGGAGGAGGAGTCCTGCACACGACTGCTGTCACTCAGCTTTACGCCGAGCTTACTTTGCAGATGGCATTGAAAAAACAAATCTCACTTGAAATGATCCTAAAATTTGAAGGTAGTCTGTCTTTGAAAATGGACATTTCACAAAAACAAAACAAAACAAAACAAACAAACAAAAAAAACCAACCAAAACAAAAAACCACCTGATCTTCTGTTTATCAGTATGCAATAGTACATGAAGGGTTTTTCGCTTGTTTGTTTGAAGCATTGGATCATAGTCAATTCGCTTGCATAGTAATTAATAGGTGGCCTGTTATGCAGTTCTTGTTAGAACCTTCTTTCAGGCACAGACACTTTAGGAACTGAAATGTATTCCCGCTTTTTTTCCAGTGCTCTCTAACAGACTAGCTGTTATTTTCTACCACAGCACTGGTTAGCAACAGGATGGATTTTTTTCCCCACCTTGTGCAAGCAGATATAATGAGTGATTACTTTTGGAAATCCTTTCATAAGTTACCAAATACATTGTTCCACTGCTTCCCAGCTTCTCTTACGAACAGCTTTTTTAGATAACATTCATTTTTGAATCTGAGTAGTTTTCATAGCTTCACAACTTGCTGATAATCCTTCTATCACTTGTGTGTCATCCTCCACCATATCACTGTGTATCGCTGTTGGAAATTCTGAGAACAGAAACATCTGGTTTTTCTTGGCTTTTCTTCCCTATTTTCTCGAGGAAACAGTGCCCCCAGGAGCTCTTATTTAGGGAAGGGTGATTTAAGATGATTAAGTCAATTAGCTATTCACTGATCATCTCTAAATGTAAAAAAGTCTTCATAGAATTGTTTCTAGAGATGTTGGTTTGAAAGGCAGATGAAACACAGTTTATTTTGTTTTCCTTATTTTATGTTCAATAATAGAGAGTTTACTAAATGACAGTTCTTCTAATATTTCCCTTATGGAGATCTCTGGTGATGAGAACAGCTTTGCTGGCATTTTGGAGGACCAAAGAGTGTGCTGTTTGCCAGGGTTGCATCTTTGCTGTTTTTCTTTGCAAGTTTCCTTATTGCTGGGCTGGTTTTGTCATTTGCCAGTTGACATCAGGATGGCTGGCAGCAGTCCAGTATACAGCAGGAAGCAATGTTTGTTTGTTGGTTTGTGGATGAGCAGAGAAGAAAGATGGTGTGAAAGGGGAAGAACAAAGAGAATTAACAAGGAAAAGCTTAAGTTATAGTGAAATTGTAAAAGTACAGACAGCAAGCCTATTAGCCACTCTTTCTTAAAATACGTGAAATACACATAGAAATAATCATGAATATCCTCAAAATCTCACAGAGTCAGATCATTGTAATAACTTGAAGTTATAACCTGGTGACTTATCACAGCTTTTTATAAATAATACACAAACATTCGTGGAAGGCACCACAACTGCTGAAAAATTGAGGAATTGTCCTCATAGCATTTTAACAAATCCAACATCCTCAAGGGCAGAGTTTTTAAAGCAGAATTTGGAAATTTAAAAAATGATAGTTTGTCACTGAGCCTTTACATTCAGAGAGAGCATGGGGTTTGTGTATGGAGGGGGGGAAGGGGAGGTGGCCAACACCACAAAAGGAGATTATGCCACTTGAAAAAAAAATCCAAATTTTTCAGTGAAAAACTGATTTTAATGCATTACCAAATACTTGACATCAACACCTACATTTGTTTCCGTAGCAGAAGCAAACCTCTGGTTCCCCAGACATTGGTGGGTTGACCTCAAAAGACCACTTCAAGTACATATAAATACATGGACAGAAACAATAGATAAAAAAATTCCTATCAGTGAGCTCCAGACCAATGTCAATTTACAATGAGAATTGCAGCATCTGCCTTACATGGCAGCTACCCTGTAAAGCGGTGAAGAAATAAAATCCATAAAATGGAAAGGAGGAACTCCTTGGTTTTGAAGACAGTCTCTCCCTGTCCTTTTAAACTATGGGCTGTTTCCAGGTCCTAGACCACTGAGAGCTTCAGAGGTCAGAAACTCTGCTTGGAGCTCTATTAGGACACTAGACAGAGCCCTACAGATTGATAGATAAGTATAAAAGGTTTCTGTTGCAAGATCTATGCCAAAGGAGTAAAGCAGTAAACTAGATGATATTGTTTAGATTGAGCCTGCAGTCAGCCAGACGTGGTTATTTCTGAATTACACAGATCAGTGTGAATGAAGATAAATATAAGACAGAGAAAGTACCATAAAACACATATACAATAAATGACTCGTAGTATTCCCATGTGCTTTCCGATTCTCAGGGGTAGAACCATGCTTTCAGTCCTGGGAGCATTCTTGGAATGAAGATTACTCTCTGATGCATAGTTGTATTCTATACACGGGAGATATCTGTGATGTATAGCTGTATAGTGCATGGGAGCAATTCTAATTTCTCCATTAAATTTCTCCTGGCCAATTGCAAAAGGCATTACTTTTTCTCCTGTTTTTCTATGTGACTGTAAATTTGCCAAAGAAAATGCTATGGAAGAAAAGGAGTTCATGGTTGGGATTATAACTGGTGTGGAATGAATCTTATGAAATATGGGAGAAAGGTGACTTCTGCTCAGAAGACTGCCTGATTATTAACAGATGGCTGTAGTTTAATGATTCTGCTATGGTGCAAAGAACAAATCAAATTAGATGTTGTGCGAAGCTGTCGTTGCACTGTGTTTCTCTGCACAGTTCCAGCTTAAACTATGATGCTCCTTTCATAGCAGTCCCTCTGATTACTGTATCTAATTCTTTCCACATCAAAGTGCAGTCAGCACTTTTATAATATACAAAGGATGCAGAGATAATGTTACAATGCATTCTCTTCAAACAGCATTGACTTGTACACTTGCAACATTTTTTTTGAGTTTTAGTAAAAGAAGATGCATTAAAGTGAGTAGCATCCTAATACTGAACAAAACCAGAAATATTTACTTAAAATCAAACCAAAGCCCTTCTGCAGGGATGGTGGGGATTTCAGAAAGTCAAGTCTTCTCAAGTGCTATCTCAATTATATCTCAGTCAACAAACAGGAAACATTGTGAGTATGCAAAATGTTTGTACTTTAAAAAGCACAGAAGGCTCTATTTATTTACAAGCAGAAAGACTGCAGTGCCTTAAAAAATCTTCAGTATAGTATAAAGTAATTCAGATCCCACTCCTCACATCAAAAGCATGGCGTCACCTAGTCACTAGGGCACAGAGAGATGGGATTGCTGTGATGATATTACTGCTTTATGACAAAGTAAAATACAATCAAATGAACACAGGATGCAAAGGATTGAAAGGCAGCAGGAAGAACTTTGTAGGATTGGCTTGAACTCTGTAGGGCTTTCTCTAATTTTACTCCGCCAAGAAATGTTCTTCCTTCCGTGATACCCCTTTAGCAGCTCTGCATATATAGTCTATCCTTGTTTCACACTGTGTTTATTGGTCATGTTAGTCACTTGCTATCATCTGTATGTCACAGAAGGTAAGGGTTGGCCAGCAGGTGGCAACTGCATTTTTTGTTTGTAAAGAAATTATATAAAATTTCAAAGATTTCAGACATGTTTATGAAAGAACATATAGCAACAAATCAAGAAATATAAACATTTTCCATTCATTTTCAAGGTTATAATAACATTTTTCAAATAAGTTTTTCAAAGAAAAAAAGCAAAGCATAACTCTGAATAAGGTGAGCACATTTACATAAAAGCAATGTTCAATGGGAGACAGAAGAATTGATATTTGGGTAACTCATTTTTTTTTAACTATGAAAAAAAAATGAAATCATGAGAATAAAAGTTTAGGTCTACACATAGTATGCCTGCCAGATCCATCTCTGTCTAAATACTACTCACTTTTATCCCAGAATTATGAAAGATTTGTTCTCAAAATTATTTCCTCCTTCCTCAGTTGCCTTTCATTCTCCTGTCTTATTAGAATGTGACTGTCAGTAATGTGCCTTTGGATCCTGAACACAAAGGGAAGAACACTCAGACAATTATGTGTCATCTTACACACAGGTCACAGACTGATCTTGGCTAAATCAGCCTAAATCTGAAAAAATTTAGTTGAGATCAATGGGCTTACCCAAGCCTGAAATCAATTATTACCCTGCTGTAAGCACCTTGATAAACTCATTCATCTACGACAAGTTGAGAATAAAAGCTTATTCAGATGAGATCAACAATAAATATCAAGAATTTGTTTATTTTTCAGAAGTTCACTTCTTTTATTTGTTGTTTTTTTTCCTAAGTTTTCAAAGTACCAGCTCAGCTTTGCAGTATGTTGGAAGTAACTCAGCCCATTCTTTGAAAATGGGTGAATTCTATCTGCTTTTTTTTTAAACTGCATTATTATTTTTCTGGGGGCTGAGGGAGTGGAATATCTCAAACCGGACAACTTTCCTTTTCCTGGTTTAACTCCCTACTACAAAGTCTGTATGACGTTACAGGCAGTTATGCTGCCTGCCATATTATCATGCTGCTGCTAATAGACTGCTGATTTTCTTCATCTGTGACAACTAGAATGTATCTGTTACACAAGTTCCACTTACTAGTTATGTTAAAACTCTAATTCTGAATGCTGAAGAGAAAGCTGCCATTTCCTTTATCACCTCTTTATTAAACTCCTCCAATTAATTGATTTGAAGTATAAAGATAGCAAATCAAAGCCAATGTTTCAGGGACATTCATTTCAGGTGATAATTTTGTATCTTTGCTGAATATTTCATAGCTGACAAGAATCAAGATAACAAATGATTGCCTTTGCAATAATCTGAATTCCCTGAAATATTCCAAAGGAGTCACTGGACGATGGCTAAAAAAAGATTAGCCCACGTGCCTGTCATAAGCTCTGTTTGCAAGAAGGACGATCATTACTACAGTCTCTGAAGAATGACTGGGGCTCGTGGGTCAAAACCGAGGAAATTTCTTCACATCGATATTACAAACTGAAACTCTGTGAATCTGTGGAACAGTGTCTGCGAGGGCACTGAATGTAAGTAGAAATCATTGTTTCTAGTGTTGGGATACAAAAGGCTGCATCATAGCCATGCCCATAAGGGTTGTTGCCACACTGTGGGCCATCTGCTTTCAAGTTCTCAGGAATTAATAAACTCTTGATTCTGCTTCCCCTCAGCCTCCCACACAGGTCATACAAATCATGGAGTGTGCTGCTCTGGCATGTTCTCTCACAGTGGTGATACTTTGAAAATGAAGTCCAAAGACATCTATTTCTAATAGGGATCACATAATAACTAACAACTTGCATCAAGTAAGATGTTGCATAGCAGCTTTGAGATACAAATATCCTAGCAGATTTCACAAATCAGTACACGAGGGAAAAATATCTGAACATTCTTGGAAGCACCTTCCGAAAATAGCATTAAGCTGTGACTAGTGAGCTAATCGGACTGTACTGGAGGCAAACAAGTGGAATTCCACTGTTATGTATGGGGACACAAAAAATAATTTTATGGAGATTTTGATTGAACTAATCTCCCTTCCACAAAACTTTATTCCATCACCTTTATTCCATCAGCAGATCTACAGCATTTATTTTCTTCTGCTAGGCACAAATCTGAGATGGGCCCGATACATGTCAGTCAGGCATCTCAGATTATTGCTCATTATCCTTTCCAGCTGACAGTTTTGACTGCACAGAAAATTACTGATGCATTTCCAGCATGGTGTCTTTGACTTCTAGTCTAGACCTGGCTAGCTTTATCAAAGACCTTATCAGCTACAATTAAGTGGTAGGCAGAGAAGCAATTTGTCTGAGTGCTCTTGTACTAGCTATAAGTAATAAAATAAAGGTTGCATTTAGGAACCTCCCAGCTTGTCAGTCACCTCACTTTCTGTAGATATGCAGGAGGAATGGGGACAGAAGCCCTTCATGGAACACTGTCTTTTACTCAAGCGAAATTACATAGCAAATTACGTAGTGCAGGTGTGCCAATGCAGAAGGGTTTTGTTGTTGCCAAATTCTGCACTTGTACATACAGAAATAAAAAATGTAATAGACTATATATAAATTACTTTCCAGTTACTACGGTGATTAATCTGAGAAAGTACTATAATAAACATGCTGAATAATAATTATTCACTGTATAAAGGAAAAAAAAAAAACAAACAATCTAGTTCCCTTGAAATGTCAAGTAATTCTGACTGGTACAGAAAGTATCTGCTGAGAGCAGTGACAAAACTGGAAGGTGCCCACATTACAGAAATAAAGCCAGTGAATTAAGTAACATCCAACATTAATATGACAAGCTTACTTTGCTTTAGTCATTTGCCATGAGAAATCATCATAAAAAGCAGCTTTCACCAGATATTTTTTAGAACTGGGGTATGTTCAATGCTTTAAAAGGGTGAATGTTTAAAAGCAGCAATTGTTGCAGACTCTTTAATGCTGACCTTCTTTTGATAACTATAGGTTTGGCATAGCCCCTGCTTTTAAATGAGAGTACTTAGTTTGTAGCACTGGCTTAAATTCACTGTCTGGCTAGTGAGCTTCAGCAGGTTTAGTGCCTCTCTATTTTAGACACCAGCATTTGTATGGTATTTTCCTCCCCAAAGAAGTAAATTATTTATACAGCACCACCCTTTTTTAACCTGGCTTCTGACAGGCTGGGATTTTTCCAATCTCAGTTGAAACTGCCTAAATAATTTATCAAGTATTCTTTCAAAGTACAATGAATTCTGAAACCTAAGAAATGTTAAATGATGTTCTTTGCCCTTCCAATGTGAGTGGATCACCAAGGTTAAACTACTGTTTTTTTTTTTTAACTTTCCTCAGTCCTCCCATTGTACAGACTCCTTTCTCCCCCTCTCCCTCCGCCCCCCCACTGTCTATTTATGAATTTTCATGATATATTCAATTTATCAAACTTTTTGTTTGTGTTTCTGTACCTCTTGCTAACTCTTCCCTTCCTAATGTCTTCCTACACCTTTTAATTTTAGATACAATAGGACAGTTTTCCCTGTAGGCAGTCCTCCAGATACAGGAAGAATTGATCTCTGCATTCCAAAGTGCACAGGCAGTAGCAGTCCTCCCAGTATTCTTGGTGCAGGGTTTTCCACTGCAGCCTCAAATTCAATTGACCCTCCTCCCATCCTCTACAAAGATAACATTGATTAATAGGCTTGTGATCTTTGGTATTGAGCATGAGAAAGTTTGCATAGAACCTGAATCAGGAAACAGTGTGCAGTCATTCATGGAAGTATTTCCAAGTCAGATATTTTACATTCCCTCCATTTCTTTCTGATCAGAATTAACTCAAAGATAGATTTAATTCCTTATCTTTTCCCCCATCCCTTCTCTGGTTTTCTGGAGTGCTGGGCATAGAGGCAGTAAATTCATCTCACAACGTTCAGGTATTTTGTAGGTACTACTTCAAAAAACGAACTCCAGAATATCTATTGTATTTCAGCTCAGAACCAACCTGATCTGAGGAACCTACTCCAAAGCCCATTGAATTTAAAATAAACATTTCTGTGATGTCACAGAACTTCGGATGTCACAGAACTTCGGATGTCAGTAGTTTCATTTGTTCCTTCTCTTCCAGTATCTGCCTACACTGTTAGTCTGGTGCCCCCTCCTTCAGTGTCATCATGCTGGTTAAATACTTTTGTGCAGACCACCAGTAGCACAGAGAGAGGCAATTTGTTGAAGCTCATGGCAGTGAGACCTATAAAGTCAGTATTTTCTAGTATATAAATGCTCCTGCCTGTGTCAGACGTCCTGAATTCAGTTGGGTGGGTGTAGGAAGGATGAGGATGGTAACATCTGACACTGATTGTTAGACATGGCAGGATTTGCTCATTTTGTTGTAGGCTGTAGGCATCTTCTGACTTCTGTGCTGCTGTTTTACAGCGGGAATCTGTTATGTGCCAGAGCACGTCAGGATACTGAAGGCAGATATTACATTCCATATGCAAAGATTATTTTAAAAACATTGGTACCTTGACAATTCTTAATTGTAATTACATGGTAAGAAATCTGAAGTCCACAATTTACAACTTTGCCTGCCTAAATCCACAGTTATTTCACACTGGATTTGCTTTCAAATGTATCTGCAGCTTGCACTGACCTGCACCTGGTCTTAGTCTGTGTTAAAAATAGGCCTGCTCAGTTTAGAAGCTTGTATATAAATTCAGGCTCTTTTCTTGCTTAAATGCCTGCTTTTACAAGGAATGTTCTTGTTACAAGGTTGTGTAAAGGAAAATTAGTTGCATGCAACAGTGAAAATAAATATCATTCCACGTTCCTTTTCACCACATCAAAGTGTTAAAATAACCCATTTGGAAAAGGCCAGGCTACGATCTTCAGTTAAACAAAGTATGCTGTGATGTTCACTGTGTTTTGTTGGAACGAGAATGGCAGACTAGGAATCAGAAACTGCAAAGAACAAAACGAAACAAATCAAAACCAACCAAACAAAAAACCCACAATTAACAAGGGGATGTAAACTCCAAACTAATTAGCATGTAACCTCCTTCTAATTATTCTTTGTGAATTGTAATATTATTGTTCCAAAGTATTTTATTTTATGTTTTGTGAATGTTGCCATCTTCTGACATATTGAATTGCTTTCCTAAAGGCTTTCTTGTCCCAAACCATATTCTAGCTCTAAGCTGCCCCCCCAGAAAAGATTTCCTCAGTCAGAACACTGCTATATTATTTCATTATACGTAGTACAAACATCAGTCAAGAATAACATTTAGACCCTCACTTGGGGAATAACAGTTTTTCCAGCTTAGGGCTACCATGACATTGCTAACAATGTTTTAAAGCAGTGAGTGTAAAGTTTTCTTATGTGATATGTGAATTTGCTTTATTTAATGATATCTATTTGTGGGTAATTATTTTCTAAAAGTCTGCGCAATTTTAATTTCAGTCTAAGTTTGCCTTTTGCATTTGATAGCAACAGATAACTTAATTTCAAAGAAAGCTTTGCTTAACATTAGCCATCTCCACAAGAGTATTTTTCTTTTTACATAAGTGTACTTTTGCTCTAGGAGATAGGAAAGCTACATTCATTAATTCAGATTTCCCAGTAGGTGGTGCTCTAAGTACATTTCAATATGTTCATAAATTTACGTCCGAATTATTTGAAGACATTACATGTTCATTAATTTACAGTTTTCACGAGTTCATCAATATTGATGATATGGAGATATAGAGTCCTATGTAAAATTAAAAAGAAAAAAGTGGTTTTACTAGACAAGAGTTCTGAAACTTGTTGGCTCTACGTTTCCCCCAGTATGCCTATAGTTGTAGTGCATCATGTAAGTATTAATGGTTTGGGTCACATGGGACACAATGTGTTACAGTGGGCTTCCTGACATACTGCTAGGAAAGATGGATGGTACTTCTTGAAAACTACCATCAGCCAGCAAAACTTGGGGCAAACTGCCTTCTGCTTGGGCCTCTTCTGCTGCTTCTTTTTTCTCTTCTGATACAATGCTGTTTTGTTTTAAACTTGCTTGCAGCTGATGCATGATGATGCTAAATGCCAGTAACTACTGCTCTCCACTCCCGTAAGGAAACTCAATTTGAATATCTACCTAGATGGTAAATATACCGTGTATTATATACAATCACACACACTCAGAAATTCACTCAGACATTCCAAACTGGAATCCGCAGAGATAGGCTATTAGACATCTTTATATTCACCTGACACTTTGCTCAAATATATATTTATATAAAATATAGTGAAGTACTATTGAAAAATTATCATTATGACAACAATTTCCTCATAAAGTGTTCTCTGTGTTCAGTTCTTTATACAAGATGTAGAACAATGTTACAGATATGGAACTGCCCAGGAGAATTTCAAGTTTGCAGCATCTATTATATCCAATGACATCAGTGCTGCAGTTGTTTATATTTTATATGAACTACTTAATAAAATGGCAGCAGTATTTCAATCTTTCCTCATTGAAAATGATAGAAATACTTACTGCTGAAACACAGTATGGAGCAAAAAACAACAAATCCAAAACAAATAAAACAATTCTTCATCAAAGTTTCAAATAAAAACGTTTCTATTCTGAGAAAGTCAAGCTGGACTTAAAAATCTCTCAACTGTTTTAACCTACAGTTGACTCTGAGTGCCTTATTGGCACCAAAGCATGCTATTCAATCTATGTGGGAAAAAAACATTTTTTAACCTTTAGGTTAAAGTGGGTACACAATTCAATAACAGTGTAAACTAACTTGAAGATATCCTGGTTTTACATCAGTGACAAAACTGGCTTAAATAGAAATTTTCATATTCATACACAGTACATTTAAAGTGTGCCCTAACCTGAAAGACTGGTATTTGCAGCAGAACCTCAATGCATCTGATTATTAATTGATACTTTCATTTTAATTTGTCAATTATGGTAAATTAATTCATGCAGACATTTATATCAGTCTCTGAATATACCTTTATCAGGTAGCAATGGTAATGACAGCTCCGATAGTAGCAGATCTTCTCACATGAGATAATGTTGATAGTATAGTTGCTAGTGATGTTCTATTACTTACTTACACAAAAATGTTTTTTCTGTTTGCTCGCCTATGACAAGCAATTTTTATGCCATTAATTTTTAATTTAAAAAGTCCTTGTTGATTAACAAACAATTCTGAATTATTTTAGTTCTTGAAATTTACCAGAAAAGTGTAAGTTGTTTGTACCTGTATATGACTACTGTATGCAGTTCACATCCTGACCCATTCCAAGGAAGGAGGTGTATCCACACAAGCATACTGACTTCATTGGTTCCAGGGCACAGGGAAGGTCACACATGAATCAAATTGCAATGCTGCTACCTGTGAGAAATCATAAATCATGACCTGTGCGTCTCCATCTCTACAAGTAATGAGATATTTAAATTGCAATATTTAATTTTTGATTAATTTTATAGTTCTAGAGCATTTTTGGCTTCAGATTTCTGAGATTTCTGGAACCATTGTGATACGTACTTATTTTTTAAACACAAAAATAAATTTTCATTTCAAATTCTCTTGGCTGTGCTGGCAGACCTCTTCTACGTGCTCAGCTACGTCAGCAGAAAAATGCTGTCTTTGCTTATGCTATTCAGGAATGTCGTGCAGCTCTAGCCAAAAAATTCCTTCTGTCAGCATGTCTTGAATCTGTACTGGGGCTTCTGCCAGCCACACTAGTCTGGCATAGCTGCATAGGCAAATAAAGACAAGCCTTCAGAGCCATGCTGTGGATCTCAGTTGATAGAGCTCAATTTAACCTTTGAATGCCCCAGCAACATTCAGCGATTCCAACATAAACTTAAAGTCCTGCCTTGTGGCCAAAATTGAAGAGTTTTGCCCGGAGATGTACCAAAGCTTCCCTACAAGATTTGTTTTGCACAAGTGAAACACTGGGATTACAGAACCTGCCCATTTCTGCCTATGCCAAAGTCCAGCTGATTTTACAGCGCAATGACACAGATTTAGAGCTGGCTGTCTCACAGCTTCTGATGGCTCTCAGAATTCCCAATTGGATGAATGCTTTTTATCTTAACTTCTATTTCTGCCTTGTCCGACATGGGAATAATACATTTAGTTAACAACTGTTCTGTACCTCCACCAATGATGCGTCTATCAGGTATCGTGCTTTATCTCACCTTAAGCCACATGCCAGCTCCTAGCAAAGCAGCACTGTGCTGGTATGTCTGCATCTTTCCCTGACTGAATGCTGAGAAAGTGCTGCCAAAATACAGTGGGCAAATGAGAGCAAAAGAAATAGAGCCAAAAGAGAAAGAATTAGACACGAAGGGTACGGCTGTATGGAACTGTGGAAGCTCAGTCTAACATTTCCCATTCTTATTTCAAATATATTTTTTTCAGGATCTGTTTGAGGCAGAACTGAGATTTAGCAAAAACCTCATTCTATCTCACTAGTTTGAATTTAAAGAACTCTCAGGGTGGTATATGATTTTCTTTTTCTTTATGCAAAGTGAGTGAAAAGCATCACCTAAGCTAAGTTTAGTGAAGCCTACAGCAGAAGCACACTCCTAGTCACTTCAGGTGAGTGCAAAGAAGTAGCTAACAAAGAGCATAGTGTCGTTCAGTTTGGTTGGTAATTCTCAGAGCTGTGTTCTGAACAGAACAGATAGGAGAGCAATTGGAATTATCACAGCTATAGAAAGAGCCTTACTCAGAATATCTTTTGAATTAAAGGAATAATTTTCTACATGTTTGCACAGCTCTTCTCCTTTCTATGCATTTGGTATTTTAAAACTAAGGATTAGAATAAAGTATTTGTAATTGAATTGAATTGTGCAGACAGACATTATTTCAAACTGAAGTAAAACTAATATTAAAAACACATAGTGCTACAACAAAATGAAAAAAAAGAAAGAAAAAAGTAGAGTAAAGATTCTAACTCTTTTTTTTTTTTCAAAATCATTTTGAATGGACCTCCAATTTTTCAGAAGGAAAAGGCAGAGCAGGGGAGAAATGTTGGAATGTCAAAATACTACTTTACACATCTCTAATGCTTTCCATTCAAAGATCTCTAGTGCTTTACAAGCTTAAAATGATTAACTTTATGCTCAGTAAGCAGTTCTGCCCATAAAAATAGGTAGGTCTTTACAGGATTAGGGCCTCAATTTGTCCTTAGAGTGATGAGCAGAGAATATCACTTACTGCTTTAACAGACAAGCTATATAAATAACAGATACTGTGATTTGCCCAAAGATCAGTCAAAATGAAAAGTTGTAATGGATTAACCTGGAATAAAACAAGTGTTTGCATTTGCAGCACACTACAAGAGAAGAATGTAGAGTAGGAAAAAAACCCAAATACTGATAGAGAAAAAAAAACATAATTAAACATTTCTTTTGATTAAAAATGAATTATTTTAAAGTGCTTAAAATATCATTCTTTAAAATAAAATGAAAGTCACTGAAAATTACCAGTTAGAATTGAAATAATAATTCTTAGTATGTCGACATGAAATGTCAACTTTTCTTTGTACATTACATAACAATTTTTGCATCATAAAAATGTTCTTCAATAGCAAACACTTTCTAATATCTGTACAATGAAGGGTTGAATGGGGCTTTTGAGACATTCCTTGTCATGGTAAAACTATCTTTTTGTAAGCAAGGCTCTGTGGAGGCAGCTGAGCTTGGAGGCAGGAGGATGAGCTCGGCTTTGCCACGTCTAGTGGTCTCTAATTAGCAGCTCTTAGAAGGAAGACACAATTTCTTATGCTGTGGTGAAAACTCACTTTGATTTGTAAAAAGACAGATTAGTGCTACAAGGACCTGCAGCCCTTTGTTTTGATGGAAGAAATAGCACACAGTTTAAACACACTTTTCTTTTACTATAGAACTCCAGACAGAGCCCAAAAAGAGAAACGTTTCACAGAAATGTGACCTTCCTGTACATAAAAGGATGTGTTAGGAAGTCTGGTAAAACTCATGATGTTGGGCAAATAAATATCCCATGCAGCTTCAACTTAACACGTCTCTAATTATCAAAAGTAGTACTTGTGAGAGGGCACTCACACCACTGGCATGTCCCCATCACTCATCAGAAGCACACAGGTAGCACTAGCTCCGTGCTGTGCCCCAAGTCAGGGCCCTGGCTTGCTGTATGTGGGAGCAGCGTGCTGGTCTGACACACGCGTGGACCGGCTCGCAAGCTGCAACTGGCTGTGATCAGCAGCCAGGCCTTACAGCACAAACAATGGGGGACACAGACATGCTGAGCCTACATGACAGTGGAGATGGCCACTTTGGGCATGGCTTCCAGAGGATCACATCCATTTTCCCTTTTCCAGCTGCAGTGGATATCCACCCATATCCTCTCTCCTTGCTGGCCCAGCACCATCTTGAAAAGTCCCAGCACCATGAAAAGTATACTCACAGTATACTCACTTTCATTAAAAAATGAAAAAAAAAAGATATTTTCTACAGCTGATTTTTTTTTTAGCTGTAAGTATTTTTAGGACTGCAGAAAAACTTTTGACCATATAACTTTGTGTTGCATTTAGGCAAGAGTAGAGAGAACACATGCTTCTTTTCCAAGTAATTCATTCATAATAATGAATAATCAATATATAATAATATTTTATAATATTTATTTATAGTAATAATTTTTAATTAAAAGGGACAGCCTATTTTGGTATTGCAAAATCTGTGAATAGAGCAAGTGAGGATGAACTCGTTTCAGAAATTTGAAAGCCTCCAGCTTGAGTTTTTAAGAATATTTGTAAACAGATGCCTCTGGGGATTTTCAAGACAATGTGCAGGTCACCTTGCATCCATTGATTTCTTTGGAAGCAGGCACCAGATTGTTTGAAAAGTCTCATTAAACCCCTTCTCTAGATTTGAAATCCTAAAATCTATTTTGTAGTGACAAGAACCAAGCTTCCAATTCACTAAGTGTAGTTAATATTAATGCGATGCTTCTCTAGGTTTTAATAAATTATACTGTGAGACATAAAATAAAAATAAATAAGTTTTAACTAAATGAATAAAAATACATAAATAAATAAAAAAGTTTTACCAGTTGCATAATTTTAATTCTCAATTTTTGCAATATAAGTATACATTCAGCTTGCTACAAATTCAAATAAAAAATCTCTCACCTACTAAAATTGAAAATGTACTTTATCATTTTCTAACGCAAGTAAGTTTCCACCATAAAGTGTGGTGTTAAATCTTCTGCTTAAAAAACTTATGTGATCAGTACTTAGTAAGAAATGCCCAGCTGGAATAAAGGTCATGTGCAGTTGAGAATGTATGTGTCTGACTGATTATGCACACCAGCAAGAGCAAACATTTTTAGAATAACAATGAAAGGCACAAATGCAAAATAAGATTAAAAGCAGTTATACAAATCAAGAATCCATGATTCAGATCTGTGAATTATATCACTATGATTTACATGTCAATCCATCGTGCTTACAGCATTTTTCCCAATGAAATTAAGCTCAAGACCTGGACACCATATTGTTGCATTGAGCTGCAAAGATACCTTTCTAATCTCCCTGATTCTATTTTACTCATTAATAAAAAGAAAATAAAAACTTCTGCCTTTTTTGGGGAGGTACTATGCAAATGTAGATGATACTATACAAAATGGTAATTGAAATGGTGAAGGAGCAAAGGGTTTTAATAAGACGACAATTCAAGACACATGCACATGTCCCTGTGTGAATGTTGATTGCAATGAAGAAACTTAAGAGTGAATTTTAAGTGCCTGTAGAAAAATGCACTGAATATTAAGAGTAAACTAAGAAATGCACAAGCCAAGGGACAGAGCTCTCTCAGAAACGCATAAAGAAAGAACCAATATATTCCTTTGTGGATTTGGGACAAAGAAGCTCTCAGTCCCTGATGTCAGTGCCCAGCAGGTTAGGGAATAGGCTGTGGGGAGCACAGGCATTGTGGCACTTCAAAAGCACCAAGAACTGTGAAAAGTTGAAAATGCAGTTAGCAACAGATTTGGATCTGAAGGGTGTAAAAAGAAATAGTGAGCACAACTGGATATGAACTTTGATGTTTCATTATATGACATTTAAGAAGATGTAGGGTTTTCAGAAGAAGTTGTCATTGGAAATTCAGAGGGGTAACACAGGGGCAGGGAGAGGGCCAAATTGTTCTTTCTGCTTTACTGCCCAAGGCTGCTGGCAAATTGCTCTGGTAGAGGCCGATCCAAAGGAGCCTGATAGAGATTTCTGCATGGATGCTCACAGTTTCTGGGACTCACCCATCCTCAGGTGTCTAAACAAAATGGACCACAAAGATAAAGGAAGCCACAACGGCCTCTCAGATGCATGGAAACCGACTCTGAGGTATTACCCTTTCACTGAGCCCCATGACAGATGGACATTTTCAAGTTTAAGAGTGAATTATATAAGAATGAAATATGGAAACACATGATCCTTTTTACCAACCTTTAGTTTGGGATGGAAAAAGTATCCTTTCTTGTTTTCAGGAACACTGAAATTGTGCTTTTGAACTTAATTTTCTTTCAAATTGAACTCACAATTGCAGAACACACAATGCATTATTATGCTACTTGGAGAAGAGGAAAGTACAATGACAAGATGACTGAAGAAAAGAAGGGTGTATGTTGGCCCTTTTCATACTGATGATGACCCTAGCAGCTTTAAATACAAAAAGGTGCTGCTGAAAAAAAAAAAAAAAAAAAGTGGTTTCTACTTGTTATGAAAACTTTTCAGTCAAAACTTTTGTAGGAGAGTGCATGAAAGGGACAGAAGAACACAATGGGGGAGCTGGGACTTACTCATGAAAACTCAAAAATGGAAGAAAAATAGTCATTTCCACAACGAGCTGTTATCTTGCTAATGAGAGTTGAGGAGAAAGGCACCTTACATTTTCCTAGAGAAGTTCTGTAGCTAAGACTGTCTACTCATGCCAGGATATGGAATGCTTACTTCATGTGAGAACAACTCCTCTGTGAAAAAGACAGACCTTAGAAGTAAGTAGGAAATTACACTGAGCAGCCATGCACTGCTGCTGGCATCTCAGCTCTCCCAGTTGGTTGGCTATGGAATCCTCCCAGTGTGGAACACTGAGTGGAAGAAGCGAAGGGGCTGTTCCTTTAGCTCCCAGTGTCTCTTCAGAGACTCAGACAGTAACTAGCTGTTTAAATGTCAGAGAGGATTTTCTTGACTGGCCCAGTCAGTCAAGCCAGTCTCTCCTCCATACATTTTCTCCCACTTCTTACAAATTATCACAATTGCCACTGCTAATGAAGCATCTCTGGTGAAGAGAACAGCTGTGAAAACATAAGTACTGAAGTTTTTACAGTACTCAGTTAAAAAAATTTAGCTTCTTTAATTTTTTCTTTAAACAAACCCACAAACACAACAATCTATCATTTTAATGGATTCCAGCTGAAGAAACTATACAATGCTGAGATATACTCTGCCTAAGATAAGGCTGTCTTCTCACTTTCCATCATTTTACTATCTGCTCAACTGGTTGGCAGTTTATGATGCTGACAGTTTAATCCTAATTTCTAAATCAGTGTCAACAGCTATTTCTTTCTCTGGAAATGATACAGAAAGACCATAAATGATGTAGAGCACTATGCCAAACAAGCCCTTTTCTTTTGGCACATCAAGAAAAGAAGAAAAAAAAAAAGAGAGGAAGAAAATATCTCCACAGCCACTCCTTTGTAGGAACCAGCAAACCAAGCACAATGTGAGAGATATTTTCCCAGCTAGCGTGGGTAGTTGTGACTGTCAGAAAATGTGACCAAATTACATTTGATCTCTCTGCTGGTTGAAGTTACAGATAGAAGTGCTTTAAAATTGAACTGGCCAAGTCAAGAAATCCCACTCGATGAATGATTCTGCGCTTTTCTCAAATCAAGATACATCACCAATACAGGAGAGACAAGGGGTAACGACTTTAATCTGAAATCAAATTAAACCTACCTTTAGTAAGGGAGGAAGAATGATACAGAACATGTAGCAGTTCTTACATGTAAATGTAAAAATGAAAAATGTTTGTCAGTACAAATGTTATCACTGCACTTTTATTTGAAAAGCAGTTGTTAGTGTTTCCAGGATTTTAACAGCTCCCAGGAATTCATAAATTCACTAACTTAAGCAATGAGTCTGGATCACATTTATACACAGAATGATCTGTTTGCTGTGGTTGTGTGGGGCTGTACTGTGATGCTGACATGAGGCCAAATCATAGAATTATAGAATGGCCTAGATTGAAAAGGACCACATGTATGAATGAGATGGCTTAATTTATGCTGCTGCACAAATGCAGCTTGGGAAGTAAAGTCTCATCTCTTCTTTCACTTTTTGTTACAAGTGGGTATGCCCTGTAACAGTCTACTCCACTGGCCTGCTGGACCGAATCCCTCTCATCTTCTTTTTTTTTTTTTTTTTAAATATGTATTTTTGAACAGGAATTCATTTTGCTAGGGCACCAAAGCAAAAACAAACTGTATTTTTTTTTTTCCTGAAGTAAGTTTGAAAGTATGAAGTTTTTTATTATGGGCTTTTTTTTCCTGTTCTAATGAGATACTTAGGGACACGAATTATTCAGCTGTCAAAACATTCATGCCATGGCTACAGGCAATGACTGTATGGCAGACCCAAAGCAACAGCTCTTGGCACATGCTTGTAGTCACTCTACCTGTATTACTGTCTGACAGCATGAAAAACATTAATTCAGAATGAGTCTTGTGAAGCTTATTAAGAATAGATTGCTTCTGAATTCTTCTGAAAAGAAATGCTGTTGATTATCTATCTAGGAAGTTCTCTGTAAAAAGCATCTTTGTCCCCTTCCACACCCTCTTCTCATGTAGGTTGTGCCACCCTGTGCTGAACTCTGCTATAGGAAAGTGCACAATATCCTCAGCTCCCACTGGAACCAGGGCAACCCCTTTCAATATAGCACATCCTCAGCATCTCACAGGACGTAGTCTTCAGGCTCCAGCTCACAAACACATGGGCTTAACTTAAGCATGTGAGTAGTCCTATTAATGTTGAAGTACTTAAAGTTAACCATGTATGTAATTGCTTGCAGGGCTGGTTCCTTAATTAGCTACACTCATCCTTTAATCCTCCCTATCTTTTAACCTCTGTAGTGTTACATGACTCAATTTTTTTAATCAGATAATGAACATTAGATAAATTGTTACTTACCACTTCTGTTTCAAGACTTGAACTAAAAAATGATGGTCTCTGCATAGCTCCTAAACACGACAAAACCTAAAATACAGTGAGAGAAGAAGTTTGCAAATTTTGAAGAACATCCTAACTTTCATTTTGTTAAATAAATGACTTTTCAGACTTCCTGAAATCATGCATGAATTTCCTGATGGCATTTTTATCTAAGTTTAAAAATTACACATTCTTTGTGTTAAAAATAATAATAATTATATAGTCAAAGCAGCAACCAGTCAAAACTAAAATTCATCAGTGCAAACATAGCAGAATGGTCAAGTTCTAGAAATACAAAACAGCACAGCAAAAGAAGGAAAAGGAAAAGAAACATGAAGAGGTAAAGGGAAAGGTAAAACAAAAAGGAGAAGGAAGAGGAAAAAGAAGAAGAAAAGAAAAAAGAACACTGACAAAAGTAGTTTGGAAAATGCCATTTTCCAATTGAAGTTTTTCACTGGAAGTGTGTGTGAGCTGCAGCTGGTTGTGCTGCCTGCTTTCTACCAATGTCTCCTTACCAAGCATAAAGCTGCCGAGAGGGGCAGTCCTGCTCACCGATTTCCCTACTCCCTTGACCTATTTTTTCCCCAATCTTTAATTTTTTTCTTTCTCTTAGTTCGGCACATTAACATTCCTCTAAAATTTAATTATGCTCCCTCACAATTCCCCAGAGCCCTCTACTTGAGCTTACTTTCTCCATTTGCTTTAATTCTAAGTAACGAGCACCTATACTGTACTTTGCAGGAGTCCAACCCCCTGTAGTTTCCTTTACTCCCTCCATATGCTGCAAGCAGTCCCTTTTGGAGAGTTGCCCTGTAGCTTGACTGGGGGCCTATTCTTTCTCAGATGATTTCCCTATAAGGTTCATTGCTATTGAGAGCAGGACTACTGACAGCATACATTTTGAATCCAGCCATGAAAATTGCTTCGTGATAATCTTTACCAAATGCTGCATTACATGGTACAACATTTGCTACTGGGCTGGGGATTCTTCTCTCCGTTTGTAAATCTGCTTTTATGACTATATTATTTTGAACACTTCATTTCATGCCTAGTACTGAAAAAGGAATAAAATATCACAGTAAAGCATTAGATGCTTACCTAAAAAGGGGATGCTAGCCTATCCAATTTTCTTAGAGTATTGCTCACTTAATATAGCGAATAAGCCTGAGGTCCAACAAGATTCCTTCATAATGCATACCAAACTGTATCACTTTCTTCCTCAAGCCGGTTTGCCATAGAGCCAGATGTACCCTACCCATCTTCTCATTACTATGATCAAACTTCTCTCTGCTGATCAGAATTTAATCCTGTTAAATCGCTAGCCTTGCAGTACATGTCTATCACACACACGCGTGCTTGCCACAGCAGATTACTGTAACTGCCTTTTTTTTTGGAACACACTCTCCAGGCTCCCCTGGGCTAATCCTTACAGCCCTGCTGCACAGCCACAGGGAACTTGGGCAGCACAGCCCTCTTGCAGGGCAAAGCAGTGTCCAAAGGGTGTGTGGGTCCCTCCGACCTGAGCTCCAGGTGGGGAAAGACGGAGCAAGCAGCAGAGACCTGCTTTCCACCCAAACCAGCTGCTCACTGCTCAGCTGCAGCTGGGAGCAGTCAGCACCACTGGTCCGTGCAGGCTTCAATATACCCAGACGCAGTACAGTCTTCTCAATTTTACTGACATTTTTGATTATTTGCCCAAAGACAGTAATAGAGCGATGAAGGTCTTGACTATGGGAGAAGCACTCCAAGTCATTTAGCAATTTGTAGCTGCCAATGTTTCAACTAGTTTGGATCACTAGAGGGTGCAGATTAGCCTCTTCAGTCTCAAAGTGGACGTTTGTATTGTGACATATAGACCCAGACAGCTCCTGATTTCCAATATTAAGTGCTTCAGACAGGAGGCATGAATTACTTACTTTGAGCCTGCCTGTTTCAGCTTTCCTTTTACAAGCACACACTACTGAGGTGTTCTGTTACACAGAAAAAGGCATTCTGTGCCTTCTGTTCCTACCATATATATGGAAAGGTTTTGTCAATATCAGTATTAAATAGAATAGCAACATAAAAAGTTAGGTATGGCTTATTTAGTCTTATGATAGTCTGAAAGCAGCACACTCAAGTTATATCTCTTATTTTAAAAATAGAATATACAGCCTAATGAGATTTCTAGCCAATGTTTTTTTTTCAGATGAGATGTACAGAATTTTAGTACATTCTCATTCCTTTCACTGTGTGACTTGCCAAACTCTTTCCCTGACCTTATCACTTTCACTAACGGAGTTCAATAATTCAGCAGTAACTGTAACAGTAACTGTTATAATCAAATCTATTATTTTGTTTGTGTGGCACTGGTTTTGGATCACAGTTTCATCTAGCAGTTGTAATGAACGACTTGGATTTGCCAGGGAACTAGTGGTTTGGAATATAATGAGTAAGAAAAAACCTTTCTTGTTCTCTGTGTCATTCTCTGGGGGATAATGGTGATGAGCTAGAAAGCAGAGTGGTCGAGCAATATTCTCCTGTACAATAATCATCTAATTGTCCCAGGAGGTGCACAGAACAGCGTCCTGAAACCCCTCGCTGAATAAGAGCCCCCCATCCAGGTGCTTAATTAACAAAAAATTCTGAATTTAAGATTAATTAAGAAAGTCAAGATCAGTCAATCAAGAGCATATCTGAAAGTGCTGAGCCTTTAGTGGGTCTGTGACGTTCTAAGCTATTGGAACAAAGAAGCACAGAGTGTTTATAAACCTTAGCAGAAAGAAGCAGATGGGATTTTTGTACATTATGTGCAGCTGGATTCACTTGTTGGAGCACAAGTAGATCAATAAATACTATTTAAATGAAAACCTTTGACTCTTCCCACACTTGTACTTAGCATTTAACTTGTTAAAGAGAAATTTATTTTACGAAACAGTCAGGAGTGGGAATTTGATTCTTGACAATACTCAAATCCACCATGCTGCACAGGACTCTATATGTCATAAAACACTGTTAATAAAATGAAAAATAATGTATCATGTAGGTAATTTAACTGCCAGAATAACATTTGACAGCATAGTTGTGGTGGTGTAGACAGAGCCTGGATGTCAATTTGTCTGCTATTAAGTCTGCAGTATTCACTATAGATAGCAAAATCAGTTCTATAGCAGGAATGGACAGGCAACTGGAAAACTGAACCAGGTCCAACCATGTGTTAGGAAAAGGGGCTGTAGAAAAATAATGACACCGACTCTTAATCATTCTTTGTCAGAAACAGAAGAATCTGAGTAGGGAAAAGAGAGCATTGTAAAGGTAGAAGAATAAAAAAAAAAAACATATTTTTTTTCTATGATAAAAGATAACATCTGTGTGCTCTGTAGAAGCAGCATTCACATAGGAACTCTGCTCAATTGGCCTGCTGCAAGCAGGCAAAAGAGGATAAGCTCTTCTGAATCAGTGCCTGGCCCTGGGCAGAAGCAGGCAGGGAGTCCCTGTGCAGGTGACTGTGACACAGACACTCAGAGATGGCTCACGAGAGGGTCTGATGAGAGCTATGAGGCTTTCAAAGTCCAGATGGGGCAATGGTGATGCTAGTGACAGTTTGAATTACAAAACAGAGACAGTTCTCATCTCTAAAAGTGACAAACCCCTTCTGTGGCTGTGACTGGTCTTGATTCTCTACTAAGAGTTAGAAGACTGTGGCACTGATAGCCACAGTGACCAGCTAGTAGGGAGATGCCACCAGGGTTTGCAATAGTAGCCTGTCAATAGAGAGATTTAAAGGGCTGATTCCACATGGAATATTTACATGAGGATGTTGTGCAGAGAAATGTATGGTAGAAATTTACAGCACACATAAATTCCCATATGAACATCTCCTCATAGTCAATACTTGAAAGTGGAGCACAATAGGAAGCAGCAGGAAATAAGATTGCTTTTCTTCAGCTGTGGAAGTCAGCACAAAGCAATTGTGTTGGAATTGATCCTATTCAGTCAGAGTTGGAGCTTAGAAGAGAGGCTGTTTAATCACATCTTAGTTCTAGTTCAGTAGTCCATGCTCAGGGAAAAAAATCAACAGCAGCAAAATAATACAATGCACAAATGTACAAAAATAACAACATCATTAGATGAAAAAAATTGAATCACAGTTCCTAAATCTACTGAGATAGATCTTAAAATCATCGTCTTTTGCTCATAAGTTAAGGGATAAGATGCAACATCATGCTTTTTTTTTTTTTTTTTTAATAATCTATTCATATGTATTCTTTGAAAAGCAAATACAAAACCGTGTAACATATTTCTTGCAGAAGCACCAGTGTAAGAAAGGACAGCTCCTTGGCTCAGGGAAGATTTTGTAGGTATCTTAAATATATTCTCTGGTACAGTGTTAAAAAAAATCACTACATTTTCTTTGTTTTCCTCTTTCGTCTTTCGCTTTTCACTTGCATTCTTCCTGCCATTTTCTGAACTTGTGTCTAGATCAGTGAAGAGATCCTTGGCCCTCCACTAATCATTAGCATTTTGAGACAGAATCAAGTCAGTGACCTATAGATTAAAAGCACTAGAGCCTATTACCATCTACCAGGGTAGTTTGCCCTAATGTTAAGTGCCATTTAGCAAAGAGGTCCTCTAGTTTGTAATCTTCTAAATTTATTGTCTAAAAAGGAATTAATTTTAAAATAATTAATGCCAGTTTAAATTGCTATGATGTATCTGCAGGCTTCTGCTTGCTCTAACTCTAAGTACAACACAATTCACTCTTTTCTATCCTTCATGGTTCAGTCTCTGTAATTGCAATTCATGGTCTAGATATCTGTCAACACATTGCTCCTTTTGCTGGTTGATAGTTCATGCAATAATGCAAGGTAGATACCTTGCCAAGCAGCACCTGTCTTTTTAATAATTTAAGATATTAAATAAATAAAATGGAGTATGCACCCACCGCATTATTTTCCTTAAATTCGTTCATTCCTCTCATACACATTTAATGATAAAAGCTGGATGTTAAGAGATGCTGATTTGTCACCACCACAGTACACAGAGGTGCAACCAGGGAAAACTTTGCT